CAGCAGCAGCACAGCAGCACGTTCGTCCAATCACTGACGGGGCACCAGAGTGGACGACGACGACGGGGAGGGTCGCCCCGCGGCCGCGCCGTCGCCGACGTGCAAATAATAACCCACACCACGTCCTCGATGTCGTCATCCGCCTCCTCCTGCCCTGCTGCTGCTGCTAGGGGGGCGGAGCCGCGCTGAGTGTGTGTGGAGTGTCAGCGAGACAGCCCCCCCCCCCCCCCCAACGATGTTTCCGGCGATAACGCGCTATGGGGACGCAACGCGTGAGCTGCCGATTGCCGTCGCGCGCCGACATGTTTCGACCTGCCATACCACTACTACAGGGGCGTCGTCGTCTATCGCATCGGGCGCGACCGCAGCCGACGGCCGCCCTCCTCACACACGTCACTCGTGCCCGTCACTCTCCGGCCCGTCACACGCGCGCGCTCGCCGTCACGCGAACCCTCTCATGCTCCAGTCGCGAAGGGCACACAACAACACAACACACAAGATGCGGCTGGGTCTTTGGAGAGCTGCCGGTGCGCGCAAGGCCCGCGAGAGTTGGCGAGGGGGGTGTTTCAAACCGTTCAGAAAACCGGAAGTTTTCGAGGACGAGGCGCGTGTTGGTTCCCGCGACCGAACCGAACGTGTGGATGGTCTACGTCGTAGCCAAAATTATTCTCAAACGTTCGTTCGAAAATCCGAGAAGGACGGTAACCAACACGTGCTTCGCAAACGCACTTTCTGTTTGAAACACACCTCACAGAGGCGCTGACCGATAGCACGCCCGCGTCAGCTGACGGTGCCTACGAGGGGAGAGCACCTGCAGCAGACGACACAACAACAACAATGCAAACAACAACAACAAACCGGCGCGGCGCGCGTTGTTCCGTATCTTACCTTGCCTTGTTGTTGTTGTCCGGCGAGAGAGGTTATCCAAGAAATGCGGAGGCAACACAGATCAAACTGACACACACACAAACAGACACAGTAACACACGCACGCACACGGCACACTGGTCGCACGCGCTCGCGGCGCACGCACACGACACACGACGCGAGGTGCGAGGAGACGGTCGGCGAGCGGGCGGGCGGCACTACCTCCCCCTCCGGTGGTCCGCGCGGCACTGGCTCTTCAATGAGCCCGAGCCTGGCTGCCAGCTCGCCAGCCC